CGAGGCTCGGCCCCGCCGTCGCCTTCTATAAACGCTCGTTCTTATTGATGTGTCCCCGTGGGAAAGGAGCCTCGGCGTCCTCTCCGCCCGCTGAATGCCCGTGTTGTTGCTTTTCCCGCAGCTTTAGCGAGGAGGGCACAACGGAGAGCACAGGTAAGGGCTCGAGCAGAGCCGAAGGCGTGACCCCTCCTCCCCGCGTCCCTCGGCAGAGTCAGTTCTGGAAAGGCAGCGGGGCTCTGTGGGATGCAGAGCTCCGCCAGGCTTTGCTGTGTCACTGCCTCTCCTTGCTCATGGAGCCATGGGGAAGCACGTGGAGAATCACAGCGTTGAATAAAATCCTCTGGTGTGTTTTGACTCCCGTCCAAGGAGGCTGAATCCTGTGTTTTTGTGGCTTGGACAGGAGCAGGGCTTGTCCTCGGTCCCATTGTCTCTGGAGCCTGTGTTTTTCTAGGATGGTTTTGATCCAGCTCCAGGGCAGCTCCCACGTGGAGGGGTAGGCTTGGGAATTGGCCAGGGACAGCTCAACTTTCAGCTGAAACAAAGTGGCTTTTACACTGTCTTGTCCCAACACCCTAAAGTGCTGAATTGAAAGAGAAGCTGGGAATGACATCTTTGCTGGTGGCAGTTCTCAGCACTCAGAGAAGCTGAAAATGATGGACGAGCACTAGGTTTGTACTTGTCTCTTTTGGGAATTTGTGGGGGCTCTTCTGGAGGAGCCCATCTTCCAGCCTGGTGCTGGATCACTTGGCTTCAATTTTAAACATCCAGGTGCAGCTTTAGTTCTCTGTTCTCTGGGTACAGCAGCAACTTCTCCTTGATGTGAGGGAGAAAATGTTCCATTAATTCCCCTTTTCAGTTCTGCAGGTTGGGCTCTGGTGTTGGCTGTGTGGTGTGGTTGTGTTCTGCAGAGCTGCAGAGAGGTTTTTGTAAATACACACCCTGTGTGAACTTCAGCCTTTGTCTGACATACGTGGTGTTCAGGTGTTTGCTTTTACCTGGGATACACCTTCACATTTCCAACGTGATGTGTCTGTGTCACACAGGGAGTTGCTGGGGTTGGGTTTCTCCAGTTTTGGTGACTTGGGCAGAGTTTAAAGCTGAAGTCTGGAAGGCTTTAGGATAAATTGAGGGATTTCTGTGGTGTGGAGGGAGAAAGAGAACGCAGCAAACCCACACAGGGAGTCTCCTTTAACCCTGATAAAAGTGATGGGGAGCAGGCTGGGACAGGGGAACGGGGCAGCTGAGCCAGGAATCCATGGAGTGTTGTGTTTACAGTCTTCACTCCCTGTAGTCTAAATAGCTGCAAAGTCCCCAATGTCTGAAGAAGGCTGGAGAGACATTTCTTATCTTCTGAGTGCTGTGGCTCCCTCTCCTCCATGGCACCTGTGTTCCCAGGGGAACCTGTGGTTTGTTCCCATGGCAGTGTCATGCTCTGAGGTAATTTCATTTAATTTTGGCTACCTCAGCTGTGCCAGCACCATCCATCCCTCTAGCAAGCAGAGTTTCTCCCCAGGACTTAAAACCAGAGGTTTCTATTTCTTGGCTGAATCCCCATGAATTCTTTTTAAGACCTGTAATAACTTTTTTGGAACTGGGCTGTATTTATAATGAGTTTTTTGTTCCTTTATGGCTCTCTGCACTGAATAATAGACTTGAAGGTTGAAGGTCATTATATCAGAAAACCTTGCAAGGTGATTATAATTCCAAAAGGTGTTTTTTCCTGAGTTTAAAATTGCCTTTGAAATGTCATTTAGAGGCACTTAAAATTGATTTGATGGCTCCATTCCTGCTGTTAATAGCATGGGAATGTGCAGGGTGAGTGAGATGGGAGCTGTGCTGAGGCAGGTGGAAGCAAACAGGGGAGCTCTAGGTGGGAGTTTACAAACAACCTTGATATTCGAGCCTCAGCTGATGATTCACAATGCAAAGATAATTATAAGCTTAAATTATATCCAATTTAGAAAGCAAGGAAGGATTTACCTTCAGCTGTAGCATAGGGGCTGAGGCAGACCTGGCACCAGCAGGAACTCAAAACTTCCCTCTGAAACACTCTTGTTATCAATTGTTAGTGCCTGCCTTATCTAAAGCATCTTTGCACCACTAAATAAAATCTGGCTGGCTTTGTGGAACCAGCATGTCCTTCCAGAAAAATCAGCTAATCCAAAAGGAGAGATGGGACCCTCCTGGGAAGGAAAAAGAGGGGCTTTTCCCCCTTTATCCTGATTGTGCTTGGCTGCATTCACTCAGCAGGGATTTGAGGTGAATCTGACAGCTCTGTGTCCAGCAGCTCCTCCTGAGAGTCACTGCTTTGGCCTTTGGAGATGTAACCCCCCAAAACAGTTCACCTGACAGCATTCAGGTGTTCAGGTGTTCAGAGGTTCATTGTCAGAGCAGCACTGAGCTCCTGGGCTAAATGTGGGTTGGGAAAATACAGGGTACAATGTCCACAAGTGTGTGATGGAGGAGCCCTGCCTGGCATGGACAGAGAGGGGAAAACCAGGAGATTCCTCATGTGCTGAGGGCCTTTGACATTTATCCAAAGTCTGGGCCCAGTAAGATAAAATGTGATTATTTAGAGTGATGAGCAGCATGTGTTCAGTAATGTTTCAGGAGGTAGGTAGTGAAAATCAGCTCTTTGAGGTGTTTTACTGTTGGTACAATGATTTATTATTGAGCAAGGTGGGGTGGTGGAAAGTCCCTGCCATGGCAGGGGGTGGAACGACACAAGGTCCTGTCCAGCCCAAACCAATCCATAATGCCATTGTATTATGGCAGGGGAGGGGTCAGAGGGCAAAGGCTGCACACACACAGTGTATCTGAGCTCCTGACAGTGTCACTTTGCCCTGTTCTCATCATCCAGCAAGGAAAGGTGGTGCTTTCCTGGAATACTGGCTGATTTCTCACATGATCTATGCCCACACCTGCAGGTCCTACCTGGAGAGACCTGCCATTGTCACCTGCTGGGCTGCCAGGGAGCAATCACAGCATGTCATCTCTAGAATTCTCAGATCTCTCTGAGATGGCAAAACCTGCAAAAACTCAGTGATTTTGGGTCAGCAGCCCTTCCTCAGCATTTCCTCTGGCCGAAAGCCCTTGTCTAACAGAGTTTTTGATGGGCTCTTCATTACAATTGGCAAGGAGAAAGCAGAGGAGGGTGAACAGTCCTGTTCATTCTCATTCCCTTTTCATAGACTTATTTGGGAGAAGCAGAGTGGGAGAGCTGTGCGTGCTGGCAGAGCTTTTGTGTTTTATGTGACGGACTGTTGAAAGAGTTCTCAAGCTGCACTTCCTTCCCGTGGGCTTTAAGGTCATTTCCCAGTGCTTGCAGGCTCATGGCGGGCTGGGAAACCCTTCTCTCATCACCAGGGAATGAAATGCTCTCCGTGGCTTTTGGAGCCAACAAAAATCTCTTTGTCTTCTCTTCCCTCCCACTGTTTCCCAAGCAGCAAGTTTGCTGACGGGCCTTGTGGGGAAGGGGGGAGTGCTGCTCCAAGATCCAGCTCTCAGGAACACGAGCTGCTGAGGTGGAACAAAGGGTCTGGCAAAGTGGGTTTTGCTGAGGCAATCACACCTGGGAAAAACAGCCAAGGATTTTATGGTAAAAGAGGTTAAGGAAGAGGATGAGACTGTGGGACAAAGTTCAGAGACAAAAACATGCAATTCTCAGCCCAGAGGTGATCTTGGAACGATAACAAACCTGAGATTTATCCACATGTGCAAAGCTGGATCTGTAAAACCTCGTTGTTGTGGTGGTGTCCATGTGCAGTGACTTCCCTTTGGTGATTTGTCTGCTACAGAAACTGGATGGCTTCTACGGTGAGCCTGGGCAAGGAAACACTGTTGGAAGATGGAATGCCACCTGCAAAAAAGCCCAGGTAAGTTTCCTTATGCTCCAGTGAATTTGTTCTAACAAGAGCCTTTTCCTTTGCCTGCCATTGTTCTTTAAGGCTTGTGACCCCTGGCGACCGTGGCTGTTTTGTTTCCTGATCCAAGAGCTGTGTGCTGGCTGCTGGCCGGGCCCTGGGCTTTCCTGCTCTTTGTGGAACAAACACCTTCACACCCACAATGTACTTTTGGGGTTTTAACCCTCAGCCAGGGGATGGGGTCACTCTCAAAGCTGTATTTTGCTGTCCTGCCCAGTCACACTGTCAGGTCAGACACGGTGTTTGTGCTTCTTTGCTTGAGATGGATGGTGGTTTCCAGGAGGACAGAGTTACTCAAATTAGTATGGTTCAGCTACATGTAAATAATTCACTCTGAGGCTCCCTGTGCTTAGAAGTAGGTGATCTTACAGTTCTGTGAGTGGAATCTGACTGGTGGGAAATTCTGTCTGTCAGAGACTGAGACTATGGCTGCTGCAGGCTCAAAAGTTGTTGTGAACAAGC